GCCGGCCCGGGCTCCGGCGAGCTCGCCAAGTACGGGCTGCCCGGGGTGGCGCAGCTCAAGAGCCGGGAGTCCTACGTGCTGTGCTACGACCCGCGCACCCGCGGCGCGCTCTGGGTGGTCGAGCAGCTGCGGCCCGAGCGGCTCCGGGGCGGCGGTGACCGCGGCGCCTGCGACTTCCGCGAGGACGACTCGGTGCACGCGTACCACCGCGCCACCAACGCCGACTTCCGCGGCAGCGGCTTCGACCGCGGCCACCTCGCCGCCGCCGCCAACCACCGCTGGAGCCAGAAGGCCATGGACGACACCTTCTACCTGAGCAACGTCGCGCCGCAGGTGCGCAGCGCCCCGCCCGGCTGAGCCCGGGGGGAGGGCCCCGCGCCCGGCCAGGCTCCAGCGAGACCTTCCGTCTCCTCGTACCCTGCGGGTGAGGCTGTGGTTCAGATCCGCTCGCTTAGCGTCGAGGTACCGAAGACGCTAGAAAGTGCGCCGCAGGGAGGGAACCGAGCCCCAGACAGCTACGCGCCCTGCCTGCGTCAGAGCGGAGGCGCGCCCAGGCAGTCGTTTTTGATTTTGAGACACAGCCTCAAGCGTGCATCACCACGTCCGGTTAATTACTGCTTTTGGAAGCCGTGGGTATTGGACCCAGGGTCTCAAGCGCGCTATGCAAGTGTGTAACGCTGCGCTACATCCCGAGATGGGCAGCAGTCGGGCTGTTCGTGCCCATCACGCCGCTCGGGCCCAGCCGCGCCCACCACCCTGCTCCTCCGGCGCCTGGCGGTCAGTGGCTGTGGACCAAGAGGGGCTTGGTGGGGAATCCAAGGCTGCGAGCCTCCTCGACCCGGCTTCTTTCCCCGTCACTCAAGGCTCTACCCATTTCCCTAGCTCAGAAAGCCCAGGCGCCTCCCCAAAGGGGGAAGAATGAGAGATCCAGGGCGCAGGAGCCATGGAGGGAGGGAGCTCGGCACCCTTGTCAGCCTGGCCCAGGCTCTACCCGTGTGGCCATCTGGTCCCCGGGGAGGGCCATGTCTTCCTTAGCTTGTTTCCTGCCCAAGGCTGAGGGACTGGCATGTCCCACCGAGCGCCCCTTCTGTCCCCAGGTGCCGCACCTCAACCAGCATGCCTGGAACAACCTGGAGAAGTACAGCCGCAGCCTGACGCGCAGCTACCAGAACGTCTACGTGTGCACTGGGCCGCTCTTCCTGCCTAGGTGAGGCCCAGCCCCAGATGTCCTTGCTCCTCTGACCCCTGCCACCCCCCGCCCAGCCCATGGGGACATGGATGGAACCACGCATGTCCCGGCTTGCTAGGCCCTCTTGCCCTCTGTTCTGCTGGCAGTGCTCTCCTCCTGCCCTCAGACCGGCCCCCCTATCCCTCTTCCTGCCCCAGCTGTTGGGGATGAGACCTTCTGGGCAGGGTCACACATTTCCCTGGCTCTGAGAACCTGGGTGAGTGGGGAACGGAGTCTGCAGGCTTGGGATCGGGCCCAGGCCTTACTGCCCAGTCCCTTGGTGCTGTGGGCAGAGGGTCTCAGTGTCCTCCCTGGTAAAATGGGACTAAAGCCTGTGTGTGACCTCATGGGTGGGGGACATCAGGCACCCGGCCCAGGGCCTGGCCCGTGGTAAGGGCTTAGCACAGGCTGGCGAGAGCGTGGCTTGGGCACTGATAAATTTCTACCAATAAGTGCCCCACTAAGATGGGAACCAGAAGCCACTCTTGTGGCCAGGTGTGACAGTGCACCCCATAATCACAGCACTCAGGAGGCTGAAGCAGAAGGATTGCCGTGAGTTCAAGGCCAGCCTGGGCTAGTGAATTCAAGTCTAGCCTAAACTACACAGTCAGACCCGGTCTTTAAAAAAAAAAAAGTGACACATGTGCCAGGCTCTGCAGGGCATGGGATTTCTGCTGGCATGGCCCTGCCCACTTGGGGCACTGCCACTGGGACAGACAGTAACCACGGTCCCAGAGGTGACTTGCAGGGTTACAAGGCCCAATACTTTGAGCAGCATTTGTTGCCAGCCCTTTGGCTGTGCTGTGCCGGCACCAGAGGGAGTCAGTCTCCATCCTGGACAGTTCCCAGCCTTGAGGAGGGGGCAGGCAGGGCATGGAGCCTTGAAGTCAGGGGGGGGCCTGGCAGGAGGGCAGAACCGGAGCTCAGGTCAGAGCAGGATTCCCGTAGGCGGAGGCCTTGAGCCCAACCAGGCTCCCGCCATGAGCGCTGGGTCCGCCCGCAGGACGGAGGCCGACGGGAAGTCCTACGTGAAGTACCAGGTCATCGGCAGGAACCACGTGGCGGTGCCCACGCACTTCTTCAAGGTGCTGATCCTGGAGGCGGCGGGCGGGCAGATCGAGCTCCGCTCCTACGTGATGCCCAATGCGCCCGTGGACGAGGCGATCCCGCTCGAGCGCTTCCTGGTGCCCATTGAGAGCATCGAACGGGCCTCGGGGCTGCTCTTTGTGCCCAACATCCTGGCACGGGCGGGCAACGTCAAGGCCATCACTGCCGGCAGCAAGGGAGGCGCAGGCCGAGACTGAGGGTGGGGCTGCAGCGCATTAAAGGTGGTGATTTTTGGAGCGGAGTCGGCTGTGGCTGTCCCAGGTGACCCGCCGGAGGCCCTGCTCGGCCGCACGCCTGCTTGCCTATGTCCTGTGTGAACCTTCAGGTGGGCCGGGCGCCTGCCTGCGTGAGGCTGGGCTGCAGGGCAGCCAGGGAGATGAGGATGGCTTCCTGGGGGACAACGGACAGCGGCTGGGGTCGGCGGCACTCAGCTCTCGCCCGGTTCCACAGCCTGGCCACCCCCAGGGTCCCTGGGGAGGCGGCCGGCAGGCCTGGGATTATCCCGCCCCACAGTGTGAGGGTGGCAGCAAGCTCTTGGCCGCTGGGCAGGGCAGCCCAGGTCCTGCGGGGGTACGTGCGGCTGGCAGGCTCACAGTGCTCGGGCAAGGGCTTGGGGACACAGTTGCCTCCCCTGGCGCAGTGCCCCCCGGGACAGCTTCCTGTGGCCACTTCTGGAGTGGGGGTCCACGGTCCACAGCCGTGTGCGAGGTCATGAGGACCAGGCCACAGAGGAACACTGGCCACACAGCTGAGGGCGCAGAGGTCCTGGAAGGGGTAGGCAGGTGGCCAGCCCTGCCCCACAGGACCCCGGGTGCAGTGTCCTGCCCCCAGGACAGCAGCCACCAAGTGCACTGGACAGCTGGGTCCCTGGACGGCTCACCTCTGTGCGGATGGTGCGGCTGCCCTGGCCTGGGCACGTGTTGACGTACAGGTCGAAGAGAACACTGGGTTCGGACACCTCCAGGTTGGGGTCGGCGTCCACGCCAGCCTCCAGCCCTTGGAGGCCCCCGAACACCACAAGGGCATGCCTGCCACCCAGAGACAAAGTTACTGCCCACTCACCAGGGCACGGGTGCGCGTGGCCGGACTTCTCACCCCCACAGACATCCGGGCCCTGCCAGGCTCCCGCCCTCCACCCCTGGCACCCACCGAAAGCTGGGCAACTGGGCAGAGGCCACCTCCGAGCCACGCTCCGATGTCCCAATGGTCAGGTCGTACCCGTCCTGGAATGGGGCCTCAGCAAACACAGCACCTGAGAGGGGTCAGCAGTGGGCTCCTGGTCTTGGCCCGCACCCAGGAAGGGCACCATGCCGGCCCTGCACTGCTCTGGGGAGGACGAGGATGGGCACAGCAGAGGCCAAGCACAGGCTGGGGCAGGGAACAAGCAGAAGGCGGCAGGAAGGAGCACCAGGGACATGGAACCTGTGACTTAGTGAGGTCACCTGCCCACCCAGCACGCGCCAGCCTGGTAGGACGAGGACCCGGCCTGACTTCCAGGTCAAGCAGGGCTCCCTGCTGCCACCTGACAGGGCTGGACAGACACCCAGAGGACGTGCATTCTTACTGAGGCAGGAGGCCAGCCGCACGCTGTAGCCCCAGTAGAGCCCGGCTCTGGTGCGAGGCTCCTGCGACGACACGACCGTGCCCCGGTAGGTCTTGCATTCTGGGGGCAGGGGAGGGGACACAGGCTGTGAAGACAGGTGAGGGGCTGGGGCCGGAGGGGCTCAGTCTTGAAGCTGGCCAGCCATGGCAGGGGCCAGAGACGCTTCCAGATACCTGGGAGCTGCTGCTGGTTCAGTCTCACGGTCACCCGAAGTCCAGGCTCCAAGTTCTTGTCAATCTTGACCTCCTAGGGAGAGGCCAAGAGAAATGGGTGCTGTCCTCGCATGGCCAGCAGGGGTCACTGCTCTCTGTGACTCTGGAGGGTGGAGGATGCAGGTCTGGGCCCCTCACTCAAGGCCCCTGGGGCAGCCCCCTCCAGGAGACTATTTGCAGCAGTTATGAAGCTGGTGCATAACCAGCACTTGGGAGGCTGAGGCAGGAGGAAGTCCCATGAATTCAAGGCCAGCCTGGGCTATACAGAACTACATCACGAGGCCCTGTCTCAAAAAACCAACAAAACAAAAACTATCACAAGACACTGGTTTGAAATGATGGCTAACTTACCTCTCTGAGCCAAAACTGTCCATAAATAGCTATTCTGTGCAACACAGGGCCAGGCAGGAAGTAAGTGACTACTGCACTTGAGCTGTGATGAATCAATTATCTGTGTCAGGGCCAGTTCTGAACTGATCACACTGGAAGGTACCATCTCCCTTCAGAGAGTGTCTCGAGCTTTTCCCTGTTCCTCTGTCACCCTGTTCCGATTGTGGTTGGTGCTTCTGGTCTGATCTTTTAGAGGGGGGAGACCCACACACCTAGAGGTGTTTGCCTCTGCCTTTAGGAGACCTGAAAGCAAACCGTTCCCAACTTGGCCCTGCAATGTGCTACAGCAGAGCCAGAATGATTTCTTTATGGTACCAGGAACTGAACTCAGCACTTCTGCTGAGCTGTATTGAAATTGTGGCCAGGTATGGTGGTGCACACCTGTAATCCCAGCACTCAGGAGGTGGAAGCAGGAGGATCGTTGCAACTTTTTTTGGTTTTTCTCCGGTACCGGGAACCGAACTCACGACCTTGTGCTTGCCAGGCAGGTGCTTTGCCGCTGAGCTAAATCCCCAGCCCCAATCGTTGCAACTTTGAGGCCAGCCTGGGCTACAAAGTGAGCCTGAACTGCATAATGAGACCCTGTCTCAAAAAAACAAAAAAAGAAATTGTGATCCTCCTGCCTCAGCCTCTCAGAGTGCAAAGATTACAGGTCTGTGCCACCATGCCCTGCATCCTCAGCCCTTTCTATTTTTCATTTTTTCTATGGCCATGCCACACTGAATGTGCCCGATCTCGTCTGTTTTTCATTTTGAGACAGCATCTTACTAAACTGCTACATTCTCCAGGCTGGATTCGAACTTGCAATCCTCTTGCCTCAGCCCTGCAGAGTGCCGGCATTATTGGTGTGGGCTACCTATGTGGCTCATGATTTGCGTTTGTTGTTGTTGTGGGGTTTTTTTTGAGACACAGTGTTGCTATGCAGTTCAGGCTGTCCTTGAACTCACTATGTAGCCCAGGGTGGCCTTGAACTCGCAGTGATCCTCCTGCCTCAGCCTTCCAAGTGCTAGGATTATGGATATGCAGCACTAGGCCTGGCTATGATTTGCTTTTTAAAACACAGTGAAGGGGCCAGGGATAGAGCTCAGCAGTACAGCACCTCCTTGGCAAGCATGAGGTCCTGAGTTCGATTCCCGTGACCCCTGCCCCCAAAAAAACCCGTGAAGCTGGGAGTGTAGCTCAGTGACCAAGCACATGCTAGACAAACATGTTAAACCAACAGGGGCCATTGGTTTCACCCCCAGTACTAAGGGTAAGCAAATAAGCAGCAGTGCCTTTGTTGCTGGCCTCATCTCCGGGCTGCTTTCTGGGCTCTTCGCTGGCCCAGGTCTGCATGCACAGAGGCACCACAGGTCCGATTCCAGGCCTCCCCCCAACACGTGCCCGCCTGCCCCCTTAGCTACGGTGTCCTCTCGGCGCGCCACAGCCTGCCATCCGGGTCCCACCTTTTTCATGCCACAGTTGACGAAGGAGCCGTGGCCCGGCCGGGTGGGCCGGTCCACCACGACGCCCTCGCGGAACTCGGACTCCTCGTCCTGCCGCACGTGGTGAGGGCTGTCCAGGGGGTTCAGGAGACCTGGGCGAGAGGTGCACAGGAGGGTGAGGACGGACCAGTTGTGCCACAGGCCTTGCCCTCCTCCGGACAGATGGTGAGGCAGAGGGCGGGGTGCTCGGTACCTGCAAACTGGAGGTCCTGGTGCTTGGGGAAGAACGCCTTTCTCAGGTACCTGTTGGAGGACGCGGGTGTGTGTGTGTGTGTGTGTGTGTGTGTGTCTCAGGTTGACCAGCTGACCCCATGCTGACCACCCCACCCCCAGACTCCGGGAAGTCACTGTCTTACTGTGGGCACTCCAGGTACTGCAGGATGCGGGCCAGCTGCACACACGCCTGCCCTTTCTTGCCAACACCCCTGAATTCGCCCTCCACAGACCTGGACAGACACGGCGCAAGATGAAGCTGCCAGCTACGGGTGGAGCTCAGTGGCTAAGCATGCAGGGCCCTGGGTTCAATCCCCAGCACCACCTAAGGCCCCTGCAGTAGCTCCTCCCATAATCTGACCCGTGGCCACTGCCCTTGTCCCTGCCCCGGCCCTGTACCTGCTGAAGATCACAGTGGACCATTTCAGGGCCAGCAGGAGCCACGCAGTGGGCAGGGCATCGTTTCCTCCCTCCTCCCCGGCCCCACAGCCCCTGGGTGGCCTCTCACTTGGCTTCCTGGCCTTCCTCATCAAATACCACGATCTCGTCCACACAGAAGATGGCGCAGGCCCTGGCGATCTGGCCAGCCAGGTAGGTGCGGAGCTCAGGCGACTGGGCATTGTCCAGGATGGAGCCTGGCAGGGCCACGCTTAGGGTGTAGGGCCGCCCTGGGCAGGGGAGGGGTGCGCCTGGTCAGCCCAGGAGGCCAAATCCCACCCCCACTCCCTTCCTCGGGGGCCTAGGGTTGGAGACTTGCTGAACTGGAGGGTGTGTGGGTGTGAGAGAGAGAGAGAGAGAGACTAGAGATCACACCCAGGGCCTTCATACTCAGCTACATCCCCAGCCCTTTTTACTTTTTATTTTGAGACAGTCTTGTTAAGTTGCCTAGGATAGACTTGAACTTGTGATCTTCCTGCCTCAGCCTCCCAGAGTACTAGGATTACTGGTGTGTACCACCATACCCAGCTCAAATGGAGGAATTCTGAGATCAGCAAAATAGATCCAACTCCATTCTGGACTTCAGTCCCTCCAGGAGGAAATGAATACAGTGACCTCCTAGGTTCCTCTGAGCAGAGGAAACCATTGAGCAAGGCCAAGGAGTAGTCAGGAGTGTTGGCCTAAATTCACACCCTCACTCTGCCCTATACTCCCTCAGTTCTCCAGCTGTCGAACAGATAGAGCACTCAGGAAGCTGATGCAGGAGGATCTCTGTGAGTGCAAGGTCGGCCTGGGCTACATAGTGAGTTCAAAGCCAGGGTGAACTACATAGTGAGACCCTGTCTCAAAAAAAAAACAGCAAAAAAGCTGGGCATGGTGGTGCATGTCTATAATCCCAGCTCTGAGGCTGAGGCAGGAGGACTGCTGGGAATCTGAGGCCAGTCGGCTACAAAGTAAGTTCAAGGCCAGCCCGAACTATATAGTAAGACCCTGTCTCAAAAAGACCAAAAAAAAAAAAAAAAAGATACATGTACACACAAAAAAGGTCAAAGGTATATAAGAGAACTGTGAGTGCAAATACTACACTGTTTTTTATAAGGGACATGAACACCTACAGATTTTGATGTCCACGGTGTGAGAATCCTGGAACCAAGGCCCTCTCCCCATTACAGGAGAGGAGTCTGTAGCCCAGAGAAGTCAAATAAGCAACCCATCCCTCACAGGGTTTACCTGAGGGAGCCCCATGACGCCCAGGCAGAGCTTCCCAATTCCCAGGCACTGATGACTTCCACATTATCACAGGTAACTACGGGGCTCACCAAGGGTACCCTGCGGCTCCTGACCCCCATAGACGGGGTCTGGCTGAAGAAAAGATCCGCTTTCTTAGGGTGGATGTGGAAGGGCTGAGGGGCATGCTTCGGGATGAAAAGATGCACATAAACTGGGCTCGCTGCTGTAAAACTGTTGCAGCACCTCTCTCTTCTGTGTCAGTGGATATAATGTTAGGACAAACTTTCACCGCTGTTTACTGGGGATTTTCCTTCTTTATAGTTTCTGTGGTTTTCAGCCTGTATTATTTATGACAGGAAAATAAACTTCCCACTATGAAAGCAAAATAACTGAATGAAAAATGAAATCAAAGCACAGTGAACATACTGAAGAAAATACTCTAAAAATAAAACAGGCGTGGTAGCACACACCTGTACCCTAGCACTCTGGGAAGCTGAGGCAGGAGGATGGCAAGTGAGTTTAAGCCTGGCCTGGGCAATTTAGCAAGATTCTGTCTTTTAAAAAAAAAGACCCTAATGCAAACAAAAAACAAAAAAAACTCAGTAAGATTATGATGTTCTGAACCAGGTGTGGTAGCATATACTGATAACCCCTTCACCTGGGAAGCAAAGGCAAAAGGGACTGGGAGTTTGAGGGTCGCTGGACTACACAGCCCCTGCCCCCAAACGCCCAGTTCTGGGTTGGAGGTATAGCTCAGCCGTACAGTGCTTGCACACAACCACAAAAATACAATTAAGAGAAGGGATACAATTAAGTTTAGGCATACAATTAAGAGAAGGGATGCCTAACATCCCTAAGCTTGAACTCTTAAGGAGGCAGGCCTCTCCCTCCCCTTTCTGGGCCCATTTCTCTATCAGGACAAGCTGAGCCCAGGCCTCACCAAGGGCTCTTCCAGACCTCACGCTCTGTTCTGCCACAGCACAGCTACTGCAGGCCGCCGGCGCCCCTCCCCGGCCCAGGCTCACCCAGCTCCTCCCTCCCGGCTGCTGCCTCCTCCTCCTCCTTCTGGCGCTGCGCCTGCTCCTCCTGTGCCCGTTGCCGGTCCAGTTTTTTGGTCAGCTTGAGGTCCTTCCACTTCTTTTTCTCCTCTTTCCCTGGGTAAGAGAAGAGCCTGATTGGTGGGGAGTAAGGGAGGGGGTCAGCCCAGCACCGCGAAGCCTCCCCGCTCGGAGAGCTGCGAGTCCTGCGGGGCCGGCTCCCCGACACGCTGAAATGGCCCGGAGGGAGGATGGACACGGGCTCTGCCCCGCCGCGACCCTTACTTACTCTGTTGTTTCCATTTGCGCCACTCAACCCTCTGTCCATGTTCACCCTGGAGGAGGAGCAGGACTGAGTGAGAGGCTGAACGGTCCCATGTGGAGGGGAGCACATGTGCTGCTTCACAGCGCTCCTGTTCCTCCAACCGGGGTCGTGCGAAGCCAGGAAACCACTACATACTTCTGCGTCAAGGGGCCAGGGACGTGCTGCACCCCCAGTGCCTGGATCGGGCCTGGCGCAACAAATTCATGGGAAGAAAGAGGAAACTGAGCCGGGCGTGCTGGCGCACGCCTGTAATCCCAGCACTCGGGAGGCTGAGGCAGGAGGATCGTTGTGAGTTTGAGATCAGCCTGGGCTACAAAGAAGCTCAAGACCAGCCTCAACTGCATAGCGAGACCCTGTCTCAAAAAGACAAAAAAAAAAAAAAAAAAAGGAGGAAACTGAGGCACCGGCAACAGGACAGTCCCCCAGATCGGAGGACTTGGGGCACAGGAAGGCTCAGGGTTGCGAGCACGGTCCCAATTCCTGAGTCCGGATCGGCCAGAGGGCCACGGGGACTCACTCCCCAGCCTAACGCCGTCCCGGCCTCGGGGATCGCGCCCCGCTGGGGTGCACAGGGCCACCAGCTTGCGGCACGCGCGGGCTTCCAGGCCCCAGAGCGGGGGGCGAGCCGCGCGGGCCAGCCCCACCATGGGCCCACAGGCTGTCCGTTCTCACGCTCGGCCCTGGCCCTCCCCTTGGTCCCACCCGGAACCTACGGGTCCGCAGGGTCCGCCGGGCCGCTTCCTCCCGCGCTCCGCCATATTCGCCGCACGCCGCTAGCCACGCCCACACTACTCAGATTCGCCTCTTCCGGTCACACCCCTACACAGCCGTCCAATAGAAAGCCCCATAGTGTGTGGGGCGTGGCCTTAGCATGCCGCAGGGATGGGCTGCGTGGGAGTGGAGTCAGCACTGCAGGATGGGGCGGGGCTAAACTGTCCCCACGAGTGCGATGAACTGCGTCTCAGATACTGACTGTCATGCACACTTGAATGGTCACCCTCCGGGTGGCCAGTGGGATTTTTTGAGTGTTCCAGTGTTTTTTTGTCATTCATAAAAAGCTCTCCTTTGGAGCATGGGAATTGGTCACAATTCAGAGGCTTGCTCTGCAAGTGCAACTACCCCCTAGCACCCCTGGCATGCATGTCCAACTCTTTTTTTCTTTTTCTTTTTCTTTTTTTTTGAGACAGGGTTTTTGCGCTGTAGTTCAGGCTGGCCTTGAACTCACTGAAATCACTGTGTAGCCCAGGCTGGCCTCTAAGTCACGGCGATCCTTCTGCCTCAGCTTCCTAGTTCTGGGATTACAGGTGTATGCCACCACACCCTGAGTGTTCCGTAACTTCTTTTGGTTGCCAGTGTAATCCACATTTACTAAAGAACAAGACTTTGACTTCAGACTGGCCCAAAGTCCTCAGCTGTTTTGAGTCCTTGCCTTTAACAGACACACATATGCATTTGCACGCGCACGCAAGCATACACACACTCACACACAATTTTTTTTTAATATCTGGGATCGAACTCAGGACCTTGCACTTGCCAGGCAGGCGCTTATGCCACTGAACTATATCCCTGGCCTTCACACACAATGTTATACAAATAGAAGAGGTTGGGTCTGAACTCTTCTTTCCTTCCATTCTGACCAAGCCCCACTCAGCAATTCTACTGTCTGAGGCAGAGACACACTGCCAGCTAGAGTTTGAATAACTTAAAATTTTATTACAGGCAAAAAAGACTCAGCACTGAATTGAACTTCCTGAGGTCAAGGTTAGATGTGGAAAGGTAGAGGTGATGGCAGAGCTTCAGCGGGGCCGAGGAAAGGGTCGGCGACAGGGCTGGGATTCAAGGTCTGCTATGGTGCCAGTTCTCCCCAGCTAAGCCAGAAGAGACCCAAGGGCCTACAGCAGACCCAGGGAGGGGCAGAGAGTTCCCAGGCCTCTCTCACCCACACTGAAACAGGAGTTCCAGGCACCGGGGAAGGGGACAGATGATGCCCCAGACCAAGGCAGGCTCTTCCCTAGGGATAGTCTAGATCACAGAGTACCAGCTCCCTGATGTGGGAACGGCTGGAACCTGGACAAAGAGGCACCGGCGTGGCCCATCAGCAACCTCAGAACTTGAGCTCAGCCTTCCACTTCTGCAGCTTCTCATCCATGGCCTGGAGTGTGGCTTCCTCCTGCAGTGACACACATGCGTCCTTCCTTCTATCCTTGGCCCAGCTGCAGAAGCACAGGGAGGGCCCCCAGCCCCACCGCTACCTTCACGAAACAGAAGCGGATGTAGTGGTCGAAGTCCTTCTGATGTGGCCCGCTGTAGAAGATGGAGACCGGCATGGCCACCAGGCCCTGGGGAGGAGGGAGCACAGGTCTCCACGTGGCCTTCTGGTCCAGCAGCCACAGCTCAGGGGACACAGAGCCTCCCATGAGGGGCAGCAAGGAAAGCTAGGGCCCGTGCATCCCCTCCAAGTGCTGTGAGGGCAGAATAAACCCACAGGCATCGTGCTAGGTCCCTACGTGTGTGCAGAGGTGGCTGCCAGGAGGGGGAAGCTCATGCCGCAGGCCAGGGCAGAGCAGGAGAAGTCAGCCTTAGAATCACAGGGGAGAGCTGGACAGACTCCAGAGAAATGCACCAGCTCCTCACTGTGTAGGACTCAGGCCCAGAGACGGGCAGGAAATCTTGTCACCCACCACTGGATCTTCATGCAAGTTAGAGCCAGGCTCCCTACTTATGGGAGTGAATAGAACTCTATACCAGGGCTCACGGCAGAGGCCAGGTGGTACCTCTGGGCCGGGCCCCCTTGGGCACCCAGCCGCCCTGGCAGAGGCACAGCCTACCTTGTCCTTTTTTTTTTTTGGTTTTTCTCTGGTACCGGGAACCGAACTCACGACCTTGCGCTTGCCAGGCAGGCGCTTTTGCCGCTGAGCTAAATCCCCAGCCCCAGCCTACCTTGTTCTTGATCATCCACTTGACGAAGCGTCTGTCATAGGGCTCGTGCGCAGCACCAGGCAGGTTGGGCATCTTGCTCTCTGGGGGACGGAGGCCATGCTGAGTCCTAGGCAGCCTCCAGCCCCCACACACTGTCACTCGGTACGGCCAGTGTCACTCACTAAAGTCCGAGATGTCCACCATGAGGAAGTAGCTGCCCTGGGGGGTCACAGGCTTGAAGCCCACGGACTGCAGGCTGCGAATCATGTGGTCCCGGCTGCGCTGCATGGCCTGAGGCAGCTGCACAAAGTAGCTGCTGGGTTGGCCGAAGAGGAGCTGCTCCCGCTCAAAGCACTGGGCTACCGCGGCCTAGACAGGCAGGACAGACAGGCTGGTCCGGGGCGCAACGCCACTGTGCCAGATGGGGCTCTTCTCTCGCTTGTTCCTGCCCGCACCCCAAAGCTGCCCCTCTCACCTGGGCCTGGGTAGGACAGTGGTAGATGGAGTTCTGGTGCACAGTCCGCAGGTGCTTCATGATGTTCTCGGGACCCAGGACCCAGCCCACCTGGGCCAGGGACACAGGCAGCAGGTGAGGCCCTTGGAGCCTGGCCAAACCCTTCTCAGCTGCCATGGCTGGCATCGCTGCCAAGGACCGCAGGGGGAGGATCACTGCACACCCACCCCACACCCACATGGGCTCACCTTCCAGCCAGTGACACTGAAGGTCTTGCCAGCACTGCCAATGGTCAGGGTCCGTTCCCACATGCCGGGGAGGCTGGCTGCCCGGGGCCAAAGAGAACCACTGCTGAGTGGGGCAGCCGGGGGGGGGGGTGCCTGGGCCCAGGTGTATGCACAGACTCTCCAGGCTGGGGACGCGGCCACCCACTAAGCTGCAGCCTGGACTTATGTGATCTCATCCTCAGGACAGCCTGGGGAGGGCACACTGCTATGGCCTCTGTTGTCAGTCATTGCCCAAGGTCACACAACTGTAGAGTCCCAGCCCGGGTCCAGGTCACCAGGACCGGGTCACAGTGTGCAGGGAGGGGCACGGGCCGGCTCAGCTCACCTATGCTGATGTGCTGGTTCTCGTCGTAGATGAGCCACTGGTAGACCTCGTCACTGACGCACAGCACGTCGTGCTGCCGGCACAGGCTGGCCACCTGCTCCAGCTCCGCCTTGGAGAACACCTGCGGACGGGGAGGTGCAGGCCTGCAGCCGGGACCGTCCCCCCCACAGGGCCCGCTCACAGGCGGCAGGCAGCCACGCCGCCAGGCACTAGGGGCTTCCCTGCATCTTCCCGCAGATCTCAGCACCCTGACCTGACCTGGTGCCATGGTCCACTCAGGTCCTGTTTCACACACGAGGAGGCACAGGGAGAGGCCACTGTCCCCTGGTCACTGGAAAGCGATGAGGCCCCAGCCCATGCCCGCCATCCCAGCCCTGACCACCTTGTGAGCTTCCTGCTCCTGTCACTGGGACCCCTGCGGGGCTTGGTCCCCAGGTACCTTCCCAAGGGGGTTGTTGGGTGTATTGAGCACCAGGACTTTAGTGCGAGGCGTGAACTTGCTGGCCAGTTCCGTGGCGTCCAGCTGCCAGCTGCTGCTGGAATCCAGGTCCTGGTCCTGGCTGGGGCTCTGCAGGAGGTGGTGGGAGGGGCTGGCAGTATGTCCCTGCCTGTCACTCAGCTCCTTGCCCCAGTGTCTGTCCCAGCCCAGAGGCCCGAGCTCCTTCCTCTTCACCCTGTCTCACTTCCCAAGCTCCAGCCCAGCTCCTTCGGGGTCCCTCTGTCACCCGCGGACCCAGCATCTCACCTGCTTCAGAGACACAAACACAGGGCGACCCCCCGCCATCAGTGTCATGGGCTCGTAACAGTCAAAAAATGGCTCAATGATGATGACCTGGAACGAGGGTGGCGTCAGCCGGGGTTGGCACTGCCTTGTCCCCTACCCCACCCACCACGCTCGCCATTCACCTCGTCTCCTTCGTCCACCAGAGCCTGGAAGGCTGTGAACAGGGCCCCATAGGCTCCCACGGTCACCAGCACGTTGGCGAGTGGGTCCAACTCCTGTCCCAGCAGCTTCCCGAAGAAACTTGCCAGGACCTTTGTCAGCGGTGGGTGACCCTGTTGGGACAGAGGCTCAGGTGCCCACGCTCACCCCCTGGCTAAGCTGTACCCAGGCAATTCTCGCGCCTCCTAGTGGCGGGTCTGGGGCAGTGTCTGCTGCTGTCCGAGCGTGTTGCAATCCGGCCCATCTGTTCTAGGGGTTCACCCAGGGCTGCGAAGTGGCGGTGAGCTAGACATAATATTCCCATCCAGCTCGACAAAGGAATTTAGAACGAAGCTGCAGCAAGATAATATATGTGTGTGAGGATAACGCAGTTGGTTTTGCTATGAGACTGGATGAGGAGGAAGGAAGGCGGATTTGAAACTGGGTGACATGTCGGGTGTGGTGGCGCATGCCTGTAATCCCAGCACTCGGGAGGCTGAGGCAGGAGGATCGAGTTTGAGACCAGCCTGGGCTACCAAATGAACTCAAGGTCAGCCTGAACTGCATAGCAAGATCCTGTCTCAAAAAGACAAAAAAA